CACTGTGACACCAATTCGAGCCAGTCCAAATAAAACTCAACAAGTGTATAGAAAAAGCCTCCGCGTTTTGCCTTACGGATGCTTGGTTTTTGCCGTGCACATAAAAATATCGACCCTTCAGATACCGACGCTTTCATTCCAAGGTCGTTATTTGCGCATGGTTGTGTTAAATCAGAAGCCCGCTAGTTTTTTTCAGTTTCAGGGTATTCATAGTTCCTCGACCATTTACGGTAGCAGAGTGATGGAAATCAAGTGAAAGCCGACGGCTCATGCGGAGAGACGAAACACTAGAATCCGGGACTAAACATTGTAGGTGCCTGTAGTCAAACGATCTTGGTTTCGTGTATGTATGCGGTATCAGCGTGGAGTAGGGTGGGTGGGCTGACGCATTTGACAAAGGAACCAATAACGTGGCAGAAGTATACTTCTACTTTTGTGGTTATCCGTTTTTTTTAATTCCAAAGTTATATATTCATTTGTCTATTGTAAACTTTAGGAAATCTTGATCGCCAACTAAACGATTTTGAGAATCGGACCAACAGTGAGGGAGGCACGCCATTCAAACCCGAATAGCGGTTTATTAGGAGAGATTACAGACTACAGGTCGAGAGAATGACAAAGGGTTATTCCATGTTCTTCATCATTCCAAAAGTTCGTGAGGAACGGAATAGTTTTTCAATGAAAAATCAAAAATACAACAGAAGAAGGATGAATAGTTCCTTATCACAGGACTTTTATACACAGGTATCAATGATCACAATCCAGAAATTTGACTATAAGAAACATGAAGCGTATTAGTTCAGCTGAGATTCACGAACCTCCCTGTGGATTTCGGCAGAAAAAACAGAATATAAGGAATTAAGTTTTTGATTTAATTGGTGAAAACCAGTAGTTCCATCCAGTCTCCTCTAAGCTACTCTCTTTCTCTCTCTCTCTCTGCATCTTCAACCCGTATAGTCCACCGTATTACTGCACAAACTTAGGCGTGCCTTGATTATGTTGTTTCTTTGACTAAATGCCGAGTGACAGTGGGGGTCGTTCGTGATGCGCTATTCATGAGTATCGTTCAGAAAGATTACGAAGTTCCAATCCACCGGATCCGTGGCATCCATAGAGTCCCTTCATCCTTTTTCTGAAGTGCACCTCATAAAATTCAAGTGTTTGTGACAGATACCATGACACCAGAGACAAAGATATATACAGTGTTCAAGTGATACAAGTGATCGGTTAGTACAGTCATAAGAACGATATTGTTTCCAGTGAATTTTCAAATTCCAATGCAGTCACTCACTGATCTGCTAGAGAATAAGCTAACGACATTATGCATTCCCAACGTATTTTCAGAAACGCCTTCTAGACACAAAAGAACAATCTGATTTGATCGATCTATCAGCCGCTTTTCTGCGTGTCCTGGCCACCAGTCCCCCTCCTTTGACCAGTCACGACAGCCCATCCAGACGAGCCACGGAACGCTCCAAGTGTGTCTTTGGTCTGTATCTGTTGCACCAGCTTGGTGTACTGCTAAAGTTTGCTCCCTGGCCCACAGATCAAACGACGGGGTCGTACATTACCACAGAGTTCTCATCCGTTCGTAGTTGGTTCCCATATGTCAAGCAGATAGAGCTCGCTTTGGGAGAACATCAAGACTGGCTGGTTCGTATAATGAGCCGAGAATTTGCGGACGAACGACAAATGGCTACACAGAAGAATGCGATACAGCCAGTTCAAAACTGGACGGAGTACATACAGCTGGTTGGTGAATGCCGGCAGGTAAGGATAATATTTGGTTCATTTGTTACTCGTTTTGGGCATATCTAATATTTTTGGTGTCTTTTACTTTCTAAGTTCGTTTGTATCATAATTTTGCTTCTGTTGTAATGATAAAATTAGTCTGTTGACCTTCCCTATGGTAAAGTTCCTTAGTTTCCACTTCTCAAATAGTCTACCGATATGCCCGATCTTTACGAACAGTGCATCACATAATCTACGGTGATTGACTGTTTTTGAACAGTTTTGAGTTCACATGAAGTGGGGGGTGGGTGGGTATTTCTATGCATTACACATTGTTACGCTCGAATCGTGACCGTGGATTTATCATGGATTCCGCTCAGTTGTTCTCTGTGTCACATTATCTGTTCCGCTTATTATTTGCCCCAACAATACGCAGTGGGCTACCTTGCACACGACCTGTCGATATCAGCCCTTCACCAAATATTTTCAAGATAATTTTCAACCAACCTTGAACATCATTTTCACGCCGATGCGCATTAACGTTAGCAGTCTGTTTCGAATGTATATGCCGATTTGTTCACGCGTCTGCATGCCAAGCTTTTGTAATGTCTATCCGTTCAACTGGACAGAGATAGAGTGTGAACTGAGAGCTTGGTCGAATACACTGCTACTGTCCGTATCTTTTAGATTGCTCTCAGGCTATTGTTTTTGTGTGCTCCGGTTATGTCGCTTCTGAAGAACAGCCACAATAATGTGGAATAATTCAGGTACTTCAGTTGAGTTGAATACGGAATGTTGCATTGCAAAAATAGTGCATTTCCAATCAAATTGCACAGCTCCGTTGAGATTTCATTTATTTCCTTAAGTGGCTTTCTGACTCAGCCATATTTTTCATTATCAATCGATTCAAAAGCTTTTTTCAATATTTGACATCATTTACGCTTTAAAATTACTTCATTTACGCAACTCACTTCTGAAAGGGTGGCAGTGAAAGTAAGGGCAAATAGTCTCAAGTTTGTTTTCTTGAATGGATAAGAGATATGTAGGCAGTCTAATAGACAGTGGATTATCGTCAACCAGAGAAATCCAGTAGCGTACTTGATCAATCTGTGGAAAAGCGAACCGAATGCTTCATCACCTCTTTGTTTGTTTGAAACCTAAGCATATGCATTGTCGTTGTTGCTGTACGTGAAGCAGTGGAGGGACATTTTAATTATCCCATGCAAAGTTGTACAACCGACTGTGTTGGACAGCGTTGCATGGGATCTACGATGAGTTTAGTCACGGCATGTGCCCTTGAATAGACGGCCTTTGGAGTACAATCATCATCATCATTGCACAGCATAATACAGTGAAGCGAACTTCACTAATCGCTGCCAAACTCATATTGCATAAAAGGTAAGTGAGAATGTGTAAGGGGCATAGGGATTGAGCCTATTTTTAAGAGTGGAAAGAGAAAGCGAACCCCTGTAGTCAACATCTCCTTCATTGTCTACAACCCTGTGGTTACGCAGCCTTTTTGACTCCAACATGCAAGACGAAAGGAACTATTTTGTCAAACCATAATCTTTCGATACATTGCCTCCTATCACGCTCCTAGTATAACAAGGTGATATCAAAGTGTGTCCTGAACGAGCTTTTTCTCGTGGGAATCAGTACTTGTTTCAAGGTTCAACCTATTCAAACTGATTTCAAATCATTCCCGATCAAACACTTAAATAAATCAAATAATTTTATTCTAGTCCTTTGATTATTTTCGGTCTGTCGCCAAACGACAAGGTTAACCCGGTCGGCATTTTGTTTCGTCTGGAAGCTCATACTCGTGTCCAGAAATCGATCGCAGGGTGTGACACTCACTTGGAGTGGTCATCTATTGGTCATGGATGAGCGAAAGAACTGCGTTTATGCTAGTAGGATGCATTGATACACCTAGTGAGACAAACACCCATCTCTTGGTTGTTCACGCCCCTGATCATTCCATCCGGTCGTGGTTTTTGTCTTAGTGACTGCCCACACGTAAGGGAGACAGATTTCACTTTCACTAGGCAGTAGTCGACTGGAGAACTGTTTCACACGAGCCTAATGAACTGATTGATCTGAAATAGAATCAGAACAACGGAACCGTTCATCTCGACTAAAGTTCAAATGACTTCCTATATGTAATCTGACTGACTGATTGACTGACTTGCTAGTTCGGTGCCTGCCAAAAGCAGTACAGGTTTTGATCAAACTCGTGCAACATAACTATCATTTCGGAAATGCGCTTCGGTTTCCAACATTATACTTGTATATTGCTGGCTATGGGTGAATTGTATTCATTCCAAACTTTATCTCTCATATTTTTATGTTCTTGGTTCTCTTCTATCACCGTTTAGATGTGCGTGAACACGAGTCTTGCAAAAAAATTGAAATAGCTCGAAAGTTACAGCTCATGTTTGGAAAATATTTTAAACAAAGTAACATGAATATTGGTTCCTACTAATAGATGATGATTCCTGTTTTATTCGGCTAATAGACACAGAAACGCAAGTGGAAATTATTAGAGATATGTTTGCACCTGATGTGAGGCAATCACATGAATGTGGCTCGGAACACTACGCGTTGGTAAGAGCAAATGTAACAAAAGTCAAGATATTGCACAGGTTTGATCAATACCTGCATATTACTATTCATAGCAAGTGCATCCTCCCGTTCAACCGAAGCGGAGTAGCAAAATATAGATACGATGGCAGTCTATAAGGGACGGCCAAAACACAAATGATAACTATTTCGGATTATCACGGCGTGTTGCGTTTGATTACCTGATTGATTACGGTAGGATCATCGAAAAATATCTGCTCTCCCTCATTATTACAAAACCTTTCTAAGAGGCACACCGAATGTGCTTATTCGCTGGTGCCCTCCGGAT